TGGTAAGTAAGCTAGCACGGATCAATATCTAACATGATGTAGATGGAAGGTGAATAATATAGATACACATTTCTAGTAGCTACAATGCCTTATGTTTGGAATGTACTACCCCCATGGATTTGCACTAAATTGCATTAGTGTTGGTGCATGCTAGGTCATATATACTGATTCATTTTAATTTATCTGAAGGAGCTCATTTACAGAAGTGTGTCTTAGTAGTGCACCGTGAAATTGTTTGGTTGTTGACTTTCTAGTTTTACATTGGCTCTTGAATTGTCTGGTACATGTGAAATAGTTGTTATTATTTATTGTTCTGTGGTGTTGTTGTAAAGGTAAAGGTTTCCCCTTGACATTAAGTCCAGTCATGCCTGACTCTAGGGGGCAGTGCTCATCTCCATTTCCTAGCTGAGGGAGCCAGCGTTTGTCTGCAGGCAGTCTCCATGGTCATGTGGCTGGCATGACTAAACACCGAAGTGTACGGAATGCTGTTACCTTCCCACCGAAGTGGTACCTTTTTATCTACTTGCATTTGCATGCTTTCAAACTGCAAGGTTGACAGGAGCTGGGACGGAGCAATGGGAACTCACCCCATTGTGCAGATCCGAACCAGCGACCTTTCGATCAACCAGCCCAGCAGCACAGCGGTTTAAACCACTGCACCACCTGTATTAGCCTGCAAAACAATTACTGTACACAGATTTTTTTATTGCAGGCAAATCTGTTTTAAATGGTTTTTATTGTTGGATTTTGTATATTTTATTGTGTAAACTGCTTTGAGAGCATTATGCTAATCAAACAGTATATAAAGGCTTTAAAATAAATAATGGTCATTTTAAAATGACTCTGTTAATAACAGAGTAAAAGATGCTTGGTAATATAGGAAACACTGCTGGATTTGATTTATCAATGTCTATTTATCCTTAGTAGAACATGGCTTTTCAAGACTCAACCAAATAGCATTCTCTTCCTGGTGTTCCAACAAGCTGCAGATAAAGCCAAACCACCAGGTACAGAGGAGTGGAATGACCTCCCCATCAGAATCATACAAAGCAGAAAAAATAGGAAACCATAGCATAGAAGGGAAAATAAAGAAACAAAGAAACAGAATGAGTCAGAAGGGATCTCTTGGGCCATCTAGTCTGACCTCTGGCTCCAGCTGGCTCCACTCATGGCATGCCTGCCATGTGCATGTCAGGCAGTCCCTGTCAGGCAGTCCCTGTGGCAGGAGCTTCTTGGAGGAAGTAAAGGGAAGAACCATCCCTCTCACATTGCATCCACTTTTGTGTCTGCCTGATGTGTGTGAGGGCTCTGAGGCACTGCAGTGATGGGCAGAGGGAGATCCAGCACTGGGTGGATGGCTGGCCTGTTAAGGGCATGTCACCCAGACCATTAATCTCTGTGCCATGTTCTGGTTCTCTTAGAACTGTAGCTTTGGCACTAGCTCTGCCAACCTGGGGCCAGGGAAGATCGCTTGCCATGAGTCTAGCAGGGCACACTCTGGATTTGTGGGGCAGGTTTTCCAGCCATACATGGCGATTGTGATCTGAAGGTGGGGAATTTTGAATCAGTGTCAGATCAGATCACTGCCCACTGAGACTGCAGTTAATGACCTCTTCTCCTCTACAGGCATGATAGGCTAGTATGATGCCGAGTTGTTTCTTAGCATTTATTTTGCTATTACTGTGAGAATCTTTTGACCAGGGCATCTGCCTTGTATGAAACTTGAGAAAGATACATAATCTCTTAGTGATGTCATCACCAGCACCACCACATTCCACTGCATTCATATCCAGACTTTCTTCTCTTATGAGTAACGCAAGGCAGCTTACATGCTTGCATTTTATCCTGGCAACAACAGCTCTGTGAGGTAGGTTAAGCTGAGGGAGTGACTGATCCAAAGCCACCCAGCGAGCTTCTTGGACAAGTGGAGGCTAGAACCCGGATCTCCCAGGTCCCCAGCCCAACATTCCAACCACCACACCACATGCAATTGGCCCTTTCGTCTGGTTAAGCCAAACAAAGCCATTTTCTGTTGAATAGCTCCTATGATGCATTGTGGCTTTCAGCAAATCAAAACAAATTCTCAACTAGATCATGTGGAAGTAAAACTGACAACGAATCCCTCAGTGTTTAGCAGTCCCAGCTTGAGTGTACCTCAGACCTGAGTCTTCCTTTCTGGAACCTGTCTTGATCCTTCCATTAGATGTGGCAGCTGTCTTTTATACACAGAAGTTTTACTCACTTGTACAAGGTAACTGGAATTTCCAGCATTTAAAATAAATGTATTTCTGATACATGAAAGAAGTCTGGGTGAGTATCTGAGGAAAATTAAACAAGACTGAAAATTGGGTGACCAGTGGTGGATTCTAATGCAAAAACAAAAGGCCCCTACATTCCATTTTTGTTGGGCCTGCTGGTGTGAGATCCTAGAAATGCCTGTAGCTTTTCTGCCAGTTTACATCACGTGTCATCCAGAATTCTGTAGCATATAATATAAGGCTATGATTATAGGTTACATTATGTATACCGTGATAGGATTTGGCTGATCAGACTTCTTCGGTTATGCAAAAGTGAATCAGTGACTGTATTCATAATCACATCATCCAGAACTGAGGCTTAGAGGCTTCAGTTTGGTGCAATAAAGAGAAATCTTCAAGTGTTTTTTTTTTTTGGGGGGGGGGGGGGGGAGGGTAAGGATCAGCAAATCATCTCTCTAACAACTTGTTCTAACCTATGACCATATCAGATTCCATGCCTTTTTTATCTGCACAAAATCTTTCTTATTTCTGTGCATACTTTTCCAAACGTATGTACCTACTGTGCACATTTTGGAAATATTTTTCTATTGATAAAAAAGTGTTTGTGCGCATTTTTCCACATGCACTTTTCAAATGGAAATAGATTGGATCAATTTTCTGAATATATTTGTTGATTTGCTTCATCACTAACTCGGAAATAAAGGGCTTTGATCATAGATTGCTTCAAGGTGCATGTCAGTTTCAAATTCTGGTCAAAAACTAATTAAATCACACCACCATATATTTCAGGGCAGTGAAAATCAGTTACCAACTGGTAGCTCTTCATAATTACAAGTGAGGAACTGTTTAAAACAGTCACTCCTTAATAACCATTGCACAAAACATTGACAAATGTATCAGCAAGCAACTTTTTATATTTAGACTCAAAGTAAAGAATCTAAAAGGGCTGTAAGCTGAGGTGACATCTATACAGCACCTGTTTTGTATCTCTGATAAATTAAATACCTTCATAACACATCTCTTTTCTGAGTGAGTGATAAATAAATTGAAAAAAAGTACTTCAGTGACATTGATTTTTTCTGGCACTTCACTAATTACCTCTCTCTGGTTTTGTATGATTGAATCATTGCTGTGATCACCTCTTCAGGTCTTCCTCCCTTCCTCCAGTTAAAAATCTCAGCCTATTTTAACATACTCACTGCAGTGCCCAGGATAGCTGATTGGATTGGATAGTATCAATTTTACAAATGATTCCTGTAAGCAATGATTCTGGAGGAAGTGCTTGTTGGAATTATTCGATACAGAATCTCAAATTTAACAGGATATGACAACCTCATTCATTTACTACATGTCAGTGAAGTAATAATAAATGACCTGAAATTTTTGGCCCCAATTTTATGTTTTCAATATTTTTTCCCACTGCTAAGAAATGGGCATTGAAAAATACTTCAATTTTACAGCAATCCCCAACAGTAATCAATGGCTTCAACTTTCCTAGATGCTTTATTCACAGGAAACAACCAATTGGAAAGCACTGTACATTTTCCCTGGAGCATACAATGCATAACAATAGACATACAGCGTGCAAAGCACTTCTGAGTTCATTAGATATACTTTATGTCATTTAAGAATTTTTCAGACTTTCGGATCACATGCTTCCTGGATGGTTTAGAAACTCAAAGCGAAATTCATAATAGAAATTAAACAAGTCCAACGGCAATCATAAGACAATAAATAAATACAGCAGCCCAATAAAAACAAGATGGAACCAATGTCTATAAAAGGTGTGGGGCAAATGTGAGCCTCCTAAGGAGAAGTCCAAACTGAGGAACCACCACCAAACAGGCCATTTCCCCAGTTCTTGCTCCAACACTGCCTGGAAGCCTCTGCAGTATTGCAACATGGTTTTAGTGAACCAACTAAATTTATCTAGACTAAATAGTTCTTCAGGTTTTATCTCATAAATTACTTACGGTAAGTCCAAGGGTTGGGCTTAGGCTTAGACTTAGGGTTATATATTCCTTATATAGTCCTTAGATCACAGAAGGCTATTTGTGAACCTCCTGATAGTGTTGGCTATGACTTCCATCATTCTTGATCAAGGGCATGCCAACTGGAATGGAAAGGAAGGACTTGGAGTCCAACACTATGTGGAGGTACACCAGTTGCCCTCCCCTGCCTTACATATTCTCACTGAATGAAAGCCTATAATTGGTTTGATGCTACAAACAAATAAATAGACATGCTTAGCCATGGCTTCATGTAACGGCTCTGGAATGTCCCAGTTGTTTTCATTAAACTTGCAGTACTGGAGATGCTCATGTTGAGGCCCCAGTTAATGAATTAATGATACCATTGCACATAGAAAATGAATTTCTCCACTGACTTACAGTCTTCAAAGATTGTGACTTATAAAGTGCATTATTGGTATTCTTGAGCCTGGTGGTATACACAATGAAAGACACAGATTTTATCATCCATAAAGCAGTCAGCAAAGTGGCACTTCCCTTTTTCCAATAATATCAAGAAATGTACTAGATATTCCTCTGCTTGGTTATGATCACACTGGAAGTATTGAAATACCATGTCACATTCACCCACATCTGGCATGATCACACATTTAAGGGAAACATTTCTAAATGAGTTTTTCACAACAAAATACCATTTGACCTATAAGCTAATCAGAAGCGCAAAAACAAATAAGACAAATTAGAGTAAGGAAAAAAGTCCTGCAGTACTCACCACGATTCAGTCAGTATGGCTGGCTAGCACAACGCTGGGAGATCTCAGACATGTATGTTTCTGTCTAACTATGTGCCTGAAGTGGATCAACAAAAGTAAAAATGTTTGTCCTTGCTGATTTTTACATTGGCTTGAGTGAAGAAAAGGAAACTTAAAAAATTATTTTCCATTCCCTCCACCATCTACAGCCATTTGAACCCCCTTGAAAGTCTATTTGAGATACTGTTGGCTAGTCCAAAGAATTATTGCATTGATACACAGACTGATACATGAAGACCTAATCAGGCATTCTCTTGTTTTAATTTATGCAAGTCACTGCAAAATTTATTTAAAACACTAGTACAGAAACCCATACTCTTAACAGAAAAACAAAATCAATATAAACAACAAGAAATGAAATAATACCATAACAATTCAACAAAGTTTGACTCATAATGCACTAAACCTCCACTTTTCATCTCAGAGCATAGAACAAACCCCCCAAAGCAACCCGCAACAACTGAACATAACAAATGTTCAAATGTCTGGAGAAAGAAGTACACATTTACCTGTTGCTGAAAAGGTGCCTGGTGAATTTCTTGGGGAAAACATATTCTTTGTGCCTTGCCCCATTCCTTGCCATCTCTGTGCACAATGCATGTATCTGCAGCAGCAAAGTCTTGCATGTTCAGTTGTACATATGAAGTGTTCTGCATAACCTAGGCAAACTATCTGAAAACTGTTCTCATTTATAAGCTTTGCATGGCAGTTATTCCAGGCTGTATGAATGTTTTCCCATCTGCCGTGATAGAAAGAAAATTCAATAAAGTTTCTTCACTGCAACCTTGTTGTCTCTGTGGTTCAGGTTTAGAGATTGTAATGCATGTTTTATTATATTGCAATTTCTATTGGGATATTAGGAAGGAACTGAGTGTGCCTTTATTATCTAAGTTTCCTGGAAGAGGCAATCTGTTTTATGTATCTTACTTTTTTGGTGACATCATTCCTGTAGTTACTAGAAAAGTTGTTGAAATTTTTTCTTTTGCAATTAAGTTGAGAGCTCAGCCAACCTGCTTTTGATTCACCCAGCATAGATAATGCACTATTCTATATGCCTTTCTATATCTATTTTATTTCTCTGCATGTTTTTCTAACTATGTATTGTATATCTCACTTTTTAAATCTGGGCATAAGACTCAAAGAACAGATCTGTAGAAGGGCTCACACAGCATCAGCATCATGACTGTCATTACCATAATCAGCACTTACTGAGCAGGTAAACATTTTCATCCCTTCCACAAAGATCTCTGAAAGTTGGCCAAGCAAGGAGATTCTTTTGGTGCTGATTTTTAAAAATGTTTCAGTTCAGCCCTATTGTTTTAATAATGGCAGAATGCCATATTATTCCAGTGATTAAAGATCTAAGTAATGTTATATATACCTCTCCTATTGATAGAACTTTTTATAAGTTTTATACTAATTGGTATGGGTTTAAACAGCAAAGCAAGACACAGATGCTTTAGCTTTTTGTTTCCTCTTGTTCATCTTCCATGTTTAGATTCCTCACAAGAGCAGTTTCTCTCAGTTCCATCGTGTATTGCAAAAAGGATTAAAACAAGTACAAATAGACATACGGAGAAATCACCTGGTCTGCCTGTTGAATGGAGTGGTTAAAAAAAGTCCAACCAGTTAGTTCCAAAGCTTTATCATATTTGTGAAATGGGTTCCCTTTTTCATTGGTAATGGATGCATATATTACAGTGATTCATAGCCCTGGCAGGGATCACAAGTATTGCTGACCATTTCCAGATGGTGGTGCTGGGGAACTATTGCTCTGTTCCATGACCTGTTTTGTCCCCCATGCTTTTTAACATACATATAAAGGAGGTCTCGGCTGAACTGCCATCAGTACACCAATGACACGCAGCTCTACCTCTCATTTTCATCATCTCCATGTGAGGCAGTGACAGTTCTGAACCATTGTCTGAGCTCAGTAAAGGACTGGATGTGGCCCAGTAAACTGAAGCTCAGTCCAGATAAGATGGAGGTACTGTTGGTGGGGAGCCCATCTGTTCAACTGGGAAATTTTCAGCCTGTTCTGGATGGGGTTGCACTCCCTCTAAAGGATTAGGTTTGCAGCCTTGGAGTATTCCTGGTTCCTAAGTTGTCACTTGTTGGCCAGGTGGGTTTGGTTTCCAGGAGTGCTTTTCATCTGCTCCAGCTGATTTATTAGCTGCACTCCTTCTTGGAAAAGTGGAGCCTTACCACGGTCATCCATGCATTGGTAACCTCCTGCTTGGATTACTGTAATGCACTCTGCATGGGGCTGCCTTTGAAAACGGTCTGGACCTTACGACTTGTCGAAATCAGGCAGCACACCTGCTGACAAGACTGGCATTTGCAAGCATATCGTGCCAGTCCTGTGCAAGTCATACTGGCTGCCAGGTGCCATCTGGGACCAATTCAGAGTGCTCACAATAGCGTATCTGGGGGATGGCCTTTCTCCGTGTGAATCAGCCTATTCACTGCAGTCCTCACCTCCCCTGAATTCCTCTCCCTAATGAAGGGGGGGGGCTGTTTTTCTAGCATAGCCCCCAAACTGTGGAATTCAATCCCATTCACAGTCTGGTTGGCACTTACTCTTTTGGCTTTTAGGAGCCAACTAAAAACTTATTTGTAAAATAAGTTATGTATTTATAATTTTATATTTATGTTGCTACCAATGGGGCATGATTTTAAAGGAGCTATATTTATTTATTACTTTAGGGTTTATTTATTAATGTATGTTCTATTCTTGGGGTGTGTGTGTACAATATAGTATTTATTTTTTCTATTTTTTCCATTTTGGTTTTATCTAATTTAGTTAATTTATTCACAGATTTTATTATCATCCTTAGTCTTTGTAGCTGAATGTTATATTGTGCTTGGATTGTTTTATGTTGTTGGATTTTATCATGCTGTAAGCTGTGCAGACAGCCTATGGCTACAAGGGCAGCATAAAACTGAATTAAATACATGCATGAATGTACATACATACATACAAATATTCCTGTTTAATTCCTGTAGCTATTAAAATTGTCACTGAAATTCCAGCAAATGCATTTCAACAACATTGCTCTGATCAGATCAGATGGGATTCATTAGACAGCTGATACTGTTAGGATGCAATTTAATCTGGATGTCCATAAATAAACTGTCCAGAGTGAGAGGAATACAGGCATCCCATGTAGGGCAAGAGAAGTATAAAGGCAAAGGTTGTTTCCATGCTTCTCCTGCTCTTTAAAATGCTTAGCTGATTTTTTCTAATTGTTGTGCCTTGGAGCATAAGGGATACTGTCAGGATACCTTGTATCATGGTGGATAATCTCATCCTCTCCCCTCATCATTACCCCAAACACCTACTGGACACTTGATCAAAGATAGTGTTTGTGCAGTTCTTTCTGTGGTGGCTGTAAGACTTTGAAGCCTATTCCATGTTCCAAACTTAGACCAAGTTTTTGGAGTCGGAACTGGGACTCCAAATAATGTTATGACCATTGAACCTTGTGTTGCAGCCATAGGTTTCTGTTGTTAGATTAGTTGTATATACGATAGCTTCAAATTCCAATAGCAGACCAAACTGCCATTGTTTCTTTTGATGCTGAAAAGGCTGGTGACAAAATTATTTGGAAATCTATTTTTGCTTTGTGGTGGTTATTTCTATCTCCAAGTGCTTTCATGTAGAATTTTAAAAATGGGTCATAATTTTATATTCTGTCGGATCTAATTTCCCTATAGTTACCTTAACTTTTTATTTTTTCATTTGTGAGAAGTACTAGACAGGGGAATCTACTTTCTCCACTGAGATTTGATTAATGTTTGGAAACCTGGCAAGTGCTATTAGACAAAATAGGAGCATTCATGGTTTTGAGCATGAATGCTCAAAGAATACTTAAAATTATCCTTTATGCTGATGATCTGTTATTGTTTTTTGAAAATCCAGTCAAATGTTGCAGCTCTGATGCAGTTGACCAATTCTTAAGTGAGCTGTCTGTTTCTTGGGTGTTAATGCTTGGTCAGTACAAATGGATATCCTGAAACATTTTGACAAAGACAGGTACATCTTTGGAAGGATCAATGCTTACCTACTCTAAGGCAATCAGTTGAAGGATTCACAACACTTTAAATATTTCACCAAGTAGCATAAAGATACCACTTGTGAATTGATTCATATAGGGATATTTGGTCTGGCTTTATTGATGCTTTTGTGGAATTCTTAGAAATCTGTATTTTCATATATATAATATATACACATGTTTCACATACATGTGTTGAACTGGATATATTCAAATCTATATAGTTATGTTTGCTTTTCCTTTTTATGATTTTTTTAAAATGCATTTTTTAAAAATGCTATCTCAATATGATATTTCATTTTATTTTTGCATTCTGAACAGCTAAATAGTTAAATCTATCAGTCCCGGAACCTAAAATTCAGATCTGTTTCTTATATAAGTAGTTGTCTATAAATAACTAAATGGGAACTTCATTTAGCAGTTCTTTTGTTTTGTGGGATTATAGAAAACATTAATTAATTCATCTAGCCTTTCTTTGTGCTGAGATGGCATGAATAAAAACATGTTACTACTCTGTAAAGGAACTCTGTGCTATCTGCAATAACGCCATTGTTTTTCTGATTCCTGTATGGGGGGACGGGCGGGAATGGTGACCTTCTGGCTCTGTTGTAAGGAACAGGGGACTAAAGAAAGATCAAGTGATTACTGTAGTGGTGACCTAGCTTCCAGACTCACACCATTAAGTGCCTCAGCTGTCCCTTAACAAGGATGCATACAGAACAGCCATACAATGGTGCTATTGATTTTTATGGCTGAGTCTTTAAAAAGATGGAATATAAAGAAAGTTAAATGATTCATATGCTTACAAAAATTATTCTGAAGCCATTTCTTTCTTTCTCTCTTCTTTTTCCCCCTAAATCTGAATCTCCTGCTGGTGCTATTGGTAGTGAGTTTCTAAAGTGTCAGATGACAGTCAAAGATACCTGGAGTGATACGCCAAAGAGAAGAAGTAAGGATTCCCTCATCTCTACAAGTCAGGTAGACAATAGCCTGCCAGTGAATGTGGATTTTATGTACTGCTCTTTTCACTTGAATGTAAAAGGGTTAACTGTTTGTGCTTTGACATTTTTCATTCTTTGTCTGCTTGAGTAGCTGTATAAAATGTTCTGTTCACATTTAAGAGAGAGTGTTGGAACCATCTTTCAGCTTTGAAATGCTTTGCTTTATTGATTGAATGTTAAGGCTTCATCTACATAGCAGCTTTGATTTTGTTTGCCAAGGCAGACCACCTGTTATGACTTTTGGCCTGTGATCAAATATGGCCCATGCTGTCCATGATTTCTAGCATTTGGACAGCTTGATCATGCTGGCCTCCATTTTAATGGATAAGAACTCCATTTTAAGAACTTAAACAGATCAAAAACTCCATTTTTAAGAATTTGAACAGATCAAAGTGTATTTTTTTTGTCATTTAACCCTGTCTATTACTGAGCTAAGAACCATAGGCAATTGGTCAAATTTCCCTCCAAAAGTGTTGCTGGAGATACTGTCCGTCCTAAAATTCTATAATCATTGCCTAATGCTTCTCTTGGACCTGAATAATGCATATTCTTTATTGGGAAACAATCACTACACCTTATTTATATTCATCACAGAGGACTTGGATTATAGAAGCATCCCAACTGCTCCTCCATAAATACAATATGAATTGCCATTGAGGCTTCAGCCTAGGTTTGTATTGCACACAGCCCCTGAGGGCCCCTGAGCAAGAGGCCCTCCTTGGCCCCCTTTCCCTCCCTCAGCGAGTCTACTTTCTT